TAATTTCTGAGACAATTAATCGCCCAGCAAAAGTTGTTATCGTGACAGGCCTATTCGCAAACACGGGAAAGGTTCTGTTGTTCAGATAAGAAAACCACGTATGACGAGTTCCAGAAATTCATAACTCATTTTGCATGGATATCTCTGAGCCTGTATGTATATATCTGACCATGTTTAGTCAACGCACCTGGAACGAGAACGGTTCAAATGAATCCTTAAAAGTGTAAATTGATCGAATGGATGGAAACTTCTGACTGCGGCTGGTTGAAACCAAACGACTCCTCGGATCGACTGGTCTTTTTGTTTTCAGGGATCGAGGACGATGAGCTTCGAGCTGGAGGTTTGGAGTAAAACGGAAGACGTTGTTCAGACGTTGCTACAGGTGGGAGTTCCCTCTGTCACAGATCAACGCTGTGACTAATGACTTGCAGCCATTTCTCTCTGCCATCATTCAAATCTGTTGAACTGGTTAGCTCTACAGGGCGTCCTGCTTGGAGAACCTTGGAGACCAGACTGCAATGGTAAGCCGATTGTTCCTCGAGCTGAGATGAAGACGTTAAAAGAAGGCAGCTCATTGCTCGTTGCTCTGACATTTTGTAGATCGCTGCTAATCTGCAGTCGCGGTTGGCGAGGTCATCGTTCGACAAGATCTGGTATGTAGCCGCGACGTAAGCGCACGCTTGTTGTGGCTTTAGGTTGTGTGGCTAACCTGCGGTAAAGCTTTCAGAGCGTCCTGGAGATGCCGCACGAGGAGTGTGCCGCAGAGATGGTCACGCCCCTCGTTTCCAATCCGGGCCACGTCTGCGTAACGGACGAAAACCTTTATTTCCAGCCTCTCAATGGATTCCCGGTGAGTCCGCGGCGCGGCCGTGCTGATGGTGAAGCCGCCCCCGCCGCTGAACAACCTCTTGTCGTTTCAGAAGCACGTGATTCAAATCAAGCTGCACAGAATCAGGAGAATCTACAAAAGACGGCACGGCCTCAAACCTTTGGTGAGCAGCGGCGGCAGGCCGGTCCTGAAATACTCGTTGCTGTCGGTGACTAAACGTTCATGTCTCTGCTGACGAAGGGTCTGGAGGTGTTCTGCACTGAGAACGAGCTGTGCTCCGACGTCTACCTGAAGTTTTACAGCACGGCTGACCGAGACGAGATCTACTACTACATCGCTACTTTCCTGGGTGAGGATCGGAGTCCACAGACCAGCACCGACAGGGCTGCTGTGAGAAGTGATCGAGATGTTTAACGTGCTAGAGTAAGGGTCCCCAAAAGACCAGCCGAAGCACAAATTCAAGCGCAACAACAGTCGTATCTGGACTCAGATCAGTCGTTATAAACGCTCTAAAGTAAGCGTCCTCGAACGAACGGGGAGAGCTGGTCCGCATTCAAACCCAAATAAAGTCTTAACTTGACGCCCATCGGTTGTTAAAATACTCTTTAATCCAGGTATAAATCCAGCAATGTTCAGTCAGGTCATCTGGACGGTTTCTTTTGTTGCTGATCGGCCATCGCCTCGTTCTTCTGGACGAACATCGTTGGGCTCTGAAATGGATTCAGCAACCGGCCAGCTGTGGTTGGACCAAAGTGAAGTCATATCTGGATCAGCTGTTCGGTTTCCTTTATGTTGGGTTTTATCTTTGCTCCTGTCTTTATTGTAAACAGTTAAAGTTTCTACCTAAAGCTATTTAAGAGTTTGTTGTGGCTCCTCGGACTGACGAAGTCCTTTGGATGAAAGACGAACAAAAAGAAGCCGTCCAGAGGACCTGACTGAACTTTGCTGGATTTTTCTATTTTTTTCCCTCAAAGAAAATGAGTTGATCTCATTTTCCTCCTTCAGATCTTTAGATCTGTTTACAGCTTTTTCCTGCTGCTCTCACTTTGTGTTCTGCTTCTTTCAGCCTCCTTGTGCAAATTTAAACATTTTTCCAGCTACTTTCAGCTGTTTTGTGCTCCTTTCAGATCGTTTCTGCTGACTACAACATTTTTGTACTTCTTCTAACTTGTTTCTGCTAATTTCAGCTTGTTATGCTCCTTTCAGCTTATTTATGCTAGTTTGTTCAGTTTCTATTTAGCTGTTTTAATGCTAGTTATAGCTTTTTTGGCTAATTCCACATTTTTGGCACTCATTTAAACTTTTCTCTGCCTAATTCTGTGCTCTCTCTCCACTTCATGTAATTTAAGCTTCTTTCTGCTTTTTTAGCTACTTTTCAGCTTTTTTTTTTGTTTGTTTTTGCTAATTTTTTTTTCAGATAATTTCCACTTTTTTTGTGTTAGTTTCGGCTTCTTTCAGCCTATTTTGGCCAAAATGTTCTTTCTGCTTTCTTCTGCTAATTTAAGCTTGTTCTACCTTTTCTGCTACCTTTTTATCATTTTTAGCTAATTTCCGCTGTTTTTAGATACATTCCAAGTTTTTTAATTAACTTCATTCTACTAATTTCACCTTGTTATACTCCTTTCAGCTTAGGTATGCTAGTTTGTTATTTCAGCTACTATTTAGCTGTTTTATCCCAACTTAAGCTTTTTCAGCTAACTCACATTTTTGGCACTCCTTTCAAATTTTTTCATCCTAATTCAGCAAAAATGTGTTCTCTCTACTTCCTTGCAGTTTAAACTGCTTTCTGCTTTTTTTAAGCTACTTTTCAGCTGTGGTTTTTGCTAATGTCAGCTTTTCCAGATAATTTCTACTTTTTTGTGCTCATTTTTGCTTCTTTCATCCTAATTGGGCAAACGTGTTCTTTCTCCTTCTTCTAATTAATCTTGTTCTGCCTTTTCAGTTAGCTTTTTTTAGTTTAGTTTTTTTTTTAGCTAATTTCAGCTGTTTTCCGATAAATTCAAGATTTTTATAATAATTTCTGCTACTTTCAGCCTAATTAACTTCTTTATGCTAATTTTAACTTGTTATGCTCCTTTCAGCTTTTTACTGCTATTTCAGCAACTGTTTAGCTGTTTTCATGCTACTTTTAGCTTTCCCAGCTAATTACACTTTTTTTAAGCTCATTTCAGATTTTCTGCCTTCTGGTAGTTTAAGCTTCTTTCTGCATTTTCAGCTAATTTTCTGCCTTTTTTTTTTCTAATTTCAGCCTTTTTTTAGCTAATTTTTGTGTTTGTCTCTGCTTATTTAAACCTAATTCAGCAAATAAGTGCTCTTTCTGATTTGTTTAGCTAAATTGGGTTTGTTCTTCCATCTCAGCAAGTTTTTCAGCAATAAGCATTCATGCTGGATTTTTCACAGGAAATGCAATTTATGAAGTTCTAATTAATTTAAAGTTTTTTCCCTTAACTAATTAAAGTGTAGAAAAGCTGAGCCGCTTAAACGAATAATAAAAGAAACGGCATTAATTATTTTTTTAAATTACGGTTACACAATTATCTGAAAAATCACAGCTGAAATCTGAAGAATTCTGCTTTTTTACGCTGACAACCTTGAAAAAGTGAAATGATGCGAGTTGTGTGATGTGTTAGCACTCAGAGTGTGTGTTTAACATGACTCTCAGCTACTACCACACCAGCTTTCTGCTCGATAGCTGGAAAACTGACCGAGTTATGGCGTTTTGTGTTGCTTATATCACTTATTGAAGGCCGGCGTCTTGAGTTGGGTTGACTCCAGCTGTTAGTTTCTACAGGTTCTGTGTATTCACCTTCAGCAGCATCCTTCCTGTTTTATTCCACCTCAGAGAACCACGTCACAGAGCACACAGCGGAGAGCTACACCCTGCAGTGGCAGCGAGGCCACCTCAGCAACTACCAGTACCTCCTCCACCTCAACAACCTGGCGGACCGCAGCTGCAACGACCTCTCCCAGTACCCAGTCTTCCCCTGGGTCGTCGCTGATTACACCAGCTCACAGTTGGGTGGGTCAGCCGAGCGAGAGGCCGCTGTCATTGTCCGCTACCACAAGGCCAACAAACTGGTTTTAAAGTTTTTATTTAGAAACGTTCGTGTTTTTCTGACCAGATTTGACGGATGCCGCCACGTTCAGAGACCTGAGCAAACCCGTGGGAGCGCTAAACAAAGAGCGACTCGACAGGCTGCTGGTGAGAGGTTTAACCCTTTTCATGTGCTTATAATAAAAATGATTTTATAATCGTCGAGTTTCGTTTTAACAGGCTCGGTACCAAGGCATGCCCGAACCCCGCTTCATGTACGGAAGCCACTACTCGTCTCCGGGATACGTCCTGTTTTACCTGGTCAGAGTCGGTATGTTGTTTTAAATCTACAGCGTGTTATTCTTTTCTTTTTTTTTTTTTTTTAAATAAGTTTTAATTTTTTTTTATCTCTGGGTAACTCTCCAGCTCCGGAGCACATGCTGTGTCTCCAGAATGGCCGGTATGACCACGCAGACCGCATGTTCAACAGGTACCGTGCACCTAAAAACTGTCCTGCAAACATGCACTGTGAATGCTTATTGCTGAATAACTTGCTGAAAACAATTGAAAGTACTCAAAAAAAGAAACATGCTGAAATGGAAGAACAAGCCTAAATTAGCACAAGAAAAAAGAAAGAACGCATATTTGCTGAATTAGGTTTAAATAAGCAGAAATTAGCACAAAATTAGGGAAATAACTCAACTATAGCTAAAAAAAACCATCTGAAAAAGCAGAAAGAAGCTTAAATACCACAAGGAAATGGACTGAGCTTAAATTAGCTTAAAGTGGAATTAGCCGAAAAAGCTAAATTTAACTGA